CAAACAAAGTCCAAGACTTGCTGTTAACCTTTTCACTCACCTGAGTGACAAAGGAGTGGACAGAAAGAAAAAAGAGTTAAAACACTGAAAGAATACAAAATGTCTGTTCCACCTATACTCAATACATTAATATTTGCACATCAACGATTTAGTCTAACAAATTGTGTAAAACAATAATTCAAAGTATACATGTAATTTGCAATTAAAGCAAAAGAACAGGATTGCATCATAAATAACATTTGCAGTCGAATTTATTTAAACTTAAAAAAACACTATACCACTGTCTGAGGATTGGTTTCAGTTGGGATATAAATTTCCATTTACTTTGACTGGTTTGCATCATGTATCTGGTATTCATCTCACTAGTATGAGTCAGAATGAATTCTGTATGAGCATGACTTTGGCATAAGACAAGGCCATATGGGGTGAACATACATACGGAGCAAGAGATAGGAAAGCTTGAGGCCTGTTGAAATATTCTTAGGGGCTTAAATAATCATTTCAATTTATGAAATTAGCAGTATTTTACTTTTGAAGCCTGAGATGTGAGAGTCTACTACCCTTCCTGAACAAGTGTTAATTAGGATATTTGGAACAATTTTCAACCGAGTATTCAAAGTAATTTGGCTGTGGTGATTTGTTTAAAAGTCTTGTTCAATGTTCTCAACCAATCAGATGCACAACTAAAACCAATTGCGACTTGTCTCTAAAATTTTCAGTCAGTCAGTAACTTTATTATCATGTCAAATCTTCTTGCTGACTACAAGTGGTCAACTAATCAGGGACACTTGAAATTACACTAAAACCTAAAAATCACACTAAGATATTTAGTACAGGTGTATAAAAACATAATGGGTGTATAAATACATAGATTACAATGAAATTTTTACAATAAGTTAAATTGCCTATACTTATGACTAAAATTAATTGGTATTTGACAATTATAATAAAATAACAATTAAGCTCCTGTTAATTAAGAATTACAAAGGTGACAGTTTCGTAGCTGCCATCAGTAATGAATGTGCCGTAACAAGATTCTCCCTCCTGATATTTGCTTTAAAACTAATGTTGATAAGGAAGTTATGGCCCTGTTCTTACTCGATAGTTGTAACCAAAGGAATGACCCAAAGTATCTAAGCAAGTGCTTTTCCATGTTTAAATCAGTTTGATTGTTTTCACTTTAAAAAATAATTTAAGCTCTTCAAGATACTTCCTCTGTTTTAATTAGCTGGAGTGATTATTTCAGTTTTTGTCATTGCACATTCAGCTCAGGACATACACTCTTATACCACAACAAATTTTAATGGAAAAACTCACAACGAAAAACCCACAACAAAAAGACAATCAACTAAGACAAAAATGTGAACACTCACAGTATTTCCTTGGCAACTCATATTTTCTAGGACGGTGACAACATATTTTGTTTCCTGATGTGCCTGATTTATACTTTCTGCTATTCTTGCAATAGATTCTTCCACTGTAATCTTGCCACATGTAGATCCTGGGTGGAAATTGTACAGGCTCAGACCCAGTCTTTCACAGCGTTTCAGTTCGTCTACCAGAGTGACACGGCTCTTGGAGAGAGTTTCTTCGTCTGGGGAACCACAGTTCATCAAATATATACCATGCGGGAGAATAGAACGCGGCGAGAAGTTAGCTTTCGAGCAAGCCTCTTTAAATAACTCTGCATCTTTGTCCTGAAGAGGTTTACTTGCCCACTGTCGCTGTGACCTTAAAAACATTGCAAATGCCTTAGCACCAATAGAAAGAGCTTCAGATACGGCGTTATGTAATCCACCACCAATAGAGACATGTGCTCCTATCAGCTTGGTATGGAACGGCTGGAAGTTGAGGTTATCTGACTTGATAGTAGCATGGACGCCGGGCTCTATTTTAACTCGCTTTATTTCTGGTTTGACCTTTTCTTCAGTCACTACTGAGTTTACCAGATTACCTCCTTCCTGTTCACAGTGGTCTTGTTCCGTGGAACTTTTCTCCCGAGCCCGTTTTTTTCCTTTGGATTGTTGTGTCCCACTCTTTATACTCGACGTTCCCTTCCTTAAATTATTGCCCTTTTCTTCTTTCCATTTTATTCTCGATGCCTCTCCTGAGGTTTGTAAAAATTTGTGATTTTGAGTTGCAACCTCTTCAATGGCTCTGGCTGCTAAACGAACGCTGCGTCTCATGCTGAAAATTCGTGGTTCACCGATGTCGGGCAGCCATTTTAATTTTTTAAAGGAATAGGACTGGATCGAGAAATTGTTATTCCCAGTCCTGCTGGAAGGGTTGACATCCCAAGAATCCTTAAAGTGCTACTGCGACGAAATTTTTGCATTTTATTTTCCCAATTTTCTGGTGTTAACTTCACATTTAGACCCTAAACTATAAGAATTAGCGTAAGTTTCTCAAATCTGACAGCGTTATTTCTTAAAAACAGCGCCGCCAAGACATTGAAAATTCTTCCGCCATTGCTCGAATAACACACTGGAGAGCCCGCGAAAATAACTACAGCGGTTTTAGTTGTGACGTCATCGACTCACTTCGCCACGCGAACAACAACAAAACCACAGAGGGAAACACGCACTATTCGGCAGGTCTTCACGCTCAAATTCTCCTTCTGTTTCTTCCGACGACGAGTCGGAGTTAAACTTCTCCTTCACTGAAGATCCATCAGACGATAATGGTGAAGGATATCTTTACGATGACAGTTTAGAGCCCGTTGCGACCGAAGAAGAAGTCGCAGCGTACAAAGAGATTTCTGCGCGTGAAGAAGAGGAACTGAACAGGAATACCGACGCCGTCGCACTGGTGAAACAAGTGTTAGTACATGGTATGCATTACTCTTACAGCTGTAAGAGGTGGAGGCAACATTTTCATGCAGATTTTCTTTTATTGCCTTCAAGTAAAAGTAAAAAACAGATTGATAAGTAAACTATTTTTTGTAGTATCAATTACACTAAATAAGTTCACATGAACATGAACAACATTTCTAGGGTAGCAAAAAGGAATCACGCAAGGTGAGATATCCCGCTCGATGTGGGGAGAACCAAATAAGTTCAGTGCTACTCACCATGCGACGAGCTCGCTTCGAAAGAGTCTCCTCGATCTCTGTATTCCGAGGTTTCTTCCAAATGCTTGGAAAGGAACCTTTCTTTAGCCTTCTAACGGCGCCATCCACATGGACTGAACTTTCAAAGGAATCTAGCGAAAAGTGGTCAGAACAAACAGCGAAGCGACCATCTGGATTGAAATGTGCACGATGTGTGCTAACGAAAGCTTTCCATTTCGTGCGAAAAGTCTTGTCGATCGACAACTTATGGATGGAAATTCCGGCCGATATATCGGTGACATTACTGCATCCTTGCACAACAAAACGTCGCGAAGGCATGCCTTTACAAGAAATACGCAAAAGAAAGCTGGTGAACAATTCTTTCGAATTTTATTCCTTCTTTCCTGCGGAACCAGAAAAACAACTCTCTCTCGGCATACCAAATTAGCCGCGTTTGTAGAGTCGTTGACGTCACTTCCGTTCTCGACCCAGTTCCTCCTTCTTCGCGCGGAGTTCTGTAGTTCGAAGAATGGCGGCCGTTCAGATCGCGAGTCTACAGGGAAAATAATATTACTTCTTGATGGAGTTTTGCCTTAGGGTTTGGCAAATTTGTTACTTAGGGTAAGTACTTTCAACCTCTGAGGAGAAAAGAAAAGGTGCATTTTTGGTCGCAGTAGCGCTTTAAATACTATATTGTGTGCGGAAAAATACTTACAATAGACTTTAAAAGTTGAATCTATTGTTTATTAGTGTTCAGTTTACTTGTTTTTCACAATTTCCATAGACTTCCAATAGTCTCTATTTCCCCAGTCTCTTTTTCAGCCTCTAGCTTTTTTCTTTCATTACGCTAATTGCTTAATTTTGATCATTTTCTACCTTTTTCCTTTCTCTCACAATTCTTTAGTTGACATCGAAGGCTGGTTCTACGCAAGGACATGAAATAGTTAGCGAAATTATCCCATAGTCGTTTTAAAAGTGTCATGTATTATTAATTTTGTTACAGTTCCAGAATTGCTTTAAATGGCAAAACCTGCTAGATCAAGATGACGAGAGCCTGAAAAATATTTTCCTTTTCACAATCTCTACTCTTTTTTGTCAAATTAAAGTAAAGAAAGCTACCGAAAAAAGTGTGGGCGAACGTCGATAGCTGCTTGATTCCTAAATTTTGTCGATTACAATGATCGATTCTGATCAGTTTCCAGTTTGATCTGTCCGATTTGAAAATGCTGGCGTTCTCTAGTAATTAGACATCGAGGCTAAAGGGGAAAGCTCAACCACCACTGAAAATCAAGCAGCACTGAAATGGTACTAACCAATCGTCAATTAAGTGCATAATGTTTCTAACCGTCTAAAATTATCTAAAAAATAAAAAAGAGTGGGTGGGTTCCCAAGCCTCAGCTGTTAGACAAAAATGGCATAAGAACCTTGTCCTTACAACAAGTATGCAACAAGTGGGTTTCATTCTCTTTCATATTGACGCAAATTGAACAATTTGTAACATGACCTCATGCTAGGCCACCCAGTTCAATTACTTTCAACATCTAATTTCATGTTCGATTCCATAAGTGAGTCCTGCTATAGCCTGATTCAGTTTAAACACTAAAGATTCTATGACTACAGAATATAGCTTCTCAATACCAGTTTAATATTGTACTGCATAGAAATCTATAACTACCTACATGTAGAAATATTTTTCTCCCAGAACTAAATTTCTTTTTTTGAACTAATTCAGATGCGAGTTGTTTTATTTATCAACTGCTCTATTTAGATGCCAAAGACAAGTGTTACGTCATCATTCGTTTTGACTGCGTCATCCTCATCTTCGCCACTATCGTCATCGTCACTGGGAGCTCCTAACTTTTCTTTCACTACTTGCTTCTCTCTCTCCTGTTTGAACTTCAGGTTCTCAGGGACATCGGGAACAGCCCAGGCTATCAAGCTGGTTATGGAGTATACGAGAAATTGGAAGACCACAACGAAAGCGAGTCTGGCAGCAACCACATTCCAGTATTCCTTTGAGCGGTTATAAGGGTATGTGTTGTCAAAGTAGCCTGAGTACCTTAAAGATAAACAGGGAAGGAGAATACTTAAACCACAGGTTATAGATCCGTCTTTCATGTATAACCACATTGTAATAACACTCTCTTCTCGATCAACACATTGATTATCCTTGTCTTTTCGTTTACAATAAAATAAATACACATAACAAAACTTCAGAGCCAAAATTTTTCAATTTATTGTGTCGTCTATTTAGTTGTCCCAATTTGTTTGCCGTTATAGTTGAATTTAATCAATAACTGTGTGTGTACGGTGACTTGCTTGACCAAAAAGTTCTTCTAAAAAGAAAATAAAACTTGTGACATCTACTAGGCTTTCAGACAGCATTATAACTGTGAAAATCCTTGCTTTTATATGTTATGATAGATTCTCGTATTTGCACCGGATTCAGACATTACCTGCAGTAATCTCTCGTGTAGTTCACGTTTGCTGTAGGTTCTATAGGCTCTGTTCCAGGCTCCCACGTGTAAAGAGTCTTGAGATCAATATAGGCGAGACTGTTATTGATGTATCCCTTTAAAGTTCCTCCTCCAGGGGAGTTGCGGTCCGGTGCGAACCTGTACTTGTATACGAGCTTGGGGATGAATTCCGAGGTGAATGCCAAAATAAACGCGTTCATTAGCACTGCAATCTTGGTCACTGCCGCGAGAACACCGTGCCACGCCCCTATGTCTTCAACTCGAACGGCTCTAGGTCGTCTATGATAACACACAAAGTTGATGGCATCCACTCGGATTTCCAAGACTGCGTTAATAAGGGCGAAGATTGGTGCGAGCGGAAAGGCTGCCACAAACATGGTCACAAAGCCGTACTGGAGGACTAAAAGAGATAAAAATAAAAACGTTACTGTTTTCGGTGTTTTGCAGAAGGCTAAAATGCACAATTAAGTTATCTTGTGAGGACGCTGAGTACATTTCGAGTACCTATTTCTAGGTAGTCCCAGAAAAGGTAGTGATCCTCCAACTCGCTTAGTTCATGATCCTTGACGTATTGTGGACGGTCACCAGAATCTGCTGCCTTCCTCCGTTTCAACCACAACTGAAACGACCTAGATTTGAAGGTATGATTAAAAGAAATTAGTTTCTTATCGACTGGTTGAGTTGAGTTATTCTAAATCAGGTGAACAAGTTTGCCCACTTACGGTATGCCAACTTCAATAACGTTGCCAATGATCTGCTGTCCAACCATAATGATCGCGATCTGTATGCAGAGCTCTAAGAAACAACCTTGTTCACTGCATCCGTCTAGTCGGTACTTGCCCAAAACTCGTCTGTATCTTCCGGGAGATCCCACGATTGACTGAGACTTGAAGAATGCTATGTAGATAATTGAGGCAAAGGTGTTGACAAACTGAAACAAGGCCATCTTCCATATGAAACTGTCTTCATAAGCACTACGAGTCGCGGGATTCTCCCAGTTGGTTAACCAAACGGCCAGCTTGTTGTATACGTACTTCAGTAAAGTGATGGCCACAAGATTGATGCAGGCAGCAAAGCCAGTGGTTAGTATTCGAGCACGCTTCTGGACTACACGGTCTGGGTTGCTGCTGAGAATGGCGAAAGTTGCTGCTCGGAACACTACCACACCGATGATTGCAGCTATAACCAAACAAATCATGAAAGCAATGACGCTGAAAACCGTGGCATAGCGACGATACTGCTTCATCTTAGAGGCTCTATACACAATCTTCCCAGTCTCTGGATCCGGCTTGAAAGGATTCCTTTCTTCTTCCGTCAAGCTTTTTACATACTCTGGCCGAAGTGGTTCCTCTTCCTCTTCGAAGTCTGAGGTATGCCATTCTGATGCTAGAGAAGCCTCCCGACGCTTCCAGAACTCAAGGAAGAGCGTGGCCCAAATGGATGCAGCAAGAGCCAAAATAACCGTGGCATCGTTATCAAAGACATTCGTGACGTAAGTGTAAAGACAAGTTGTTGGAGCTAAATTCCAGTAACTGCACTGCCGATCGCACAATGGACACATGTACCAAACACCGTCGTTCTTTTCATCGCATACGTCTTGTACAGGGGCGTGGGAGCCTGTCGTTATTATGCCATACAAGAACACGATCAAAGCAACGATTGCAAGTGGAACCAGCATGGCAGAGTAAAATCCAAGCCAGGCAAAATAAAGGCCAATTTCGTGTCCAAAGTAATCCTTGATGGCATCGTAAGGTTGGAACTTGAAACATCTTCCCAGTCGAGCCCAGTCTCTCTTCAAGCGCTGTCGATCATTGACTGGAGAATCCTCATTACATAGGTTTTCCGTACCCTCGTGTAACGGATAGTGTGCGATGTAGGCTCCATCCAGCACAAGCCTCTTCAGTCCAAGACACTGTGGATCTTGTGCAAATCGGGTGTTCTGCAGTATTTGATAGACAACGTGCATCCTATCTACGGTGGGAAAGAAGATTTCCTTGTCTTCATGATTCATGTACGTCGTCAGGTGCTCTTTATCAAAACGACCCATGAAGTTGTCAGCTCTTTCTCTAACTGTGGCATCATGAATGATCAAGGGATTCCAGTTTGCCATTTTCTCTAATCGATCACGGCCACAAAAAGATTGAGGCCACGAAGTAAACTCCACATCATTGGGCTGGAGAGGTACCTTCAGTTTCATATCTTCAGCGCGGCTGGCTAGTAATTCCCAAGGGGCATGGATCAAGACAAAATGGCGTTGTACTTCAGGTTCCTACATGTGAAAATAGAAAGGGAATCAAACGGATTCTACATCGGAATATAAAGGAGAGCTAACTAAAGGGAATTAGTTCTCGCAAATTTTTGTGCAAGAGCAAATCGACATCTACATGTTTATTTAAAATTAGAGAAGCATGTTCGATAAAGGTCCAGTCATTATTTGTTTGTCGCCTTAGGAGAAGGGGGATTCTGAAGGGAACATGTGGTTTTCAAGGGGAACCGGACGGGGAATCAGCCGTCGCTAATTGAGGTTAAGGTACTATAAAGAATGAACTGCCAATTAACTGCCAATGGAGTAGGGGTGGGTATAAAAATATTACACAGCCTAGGGGGTATTAAATAAATTTTACCGTGAGACCACCAAAATCCTCGAACTACCCCTACCCCCCACCCCTCAGGCGGTAAATAATGATCCCTAAGCTCTGCTTGTCACGAGAAGTGATCTCCAATATACAGTTGTTTTGATGCTGCTCAGGCTGACCTTTGCTTGTTTTACTTCCTCTCCTTCGGAATACTCAAGATACAAACTAGTTAGAAAATATTTCTACGGTTTAAAAATAGCACAAGTGTATTGGCTTTGTGCTGAGCCTTACTACTTAAACATAACTTAGTGCCCCCACGCATACTATTCACAAATATGTTTCAACGTCTGGGTCTAGACAGGGGGTACGGCACGCTATCAAGGTTATTGCAGATTTAAGAAAGGTCTCTGGATTGACAAAAACTTAAACTCAAGAAGCACAATTTTGAACAAAAACTGCATTATCTATTTTGATCCTCTCCCCTTTTAATCCAGAGGTGAGCGTGTATAACTTAAAACGTTCCGACATCTTTAGGATATCATCTTCAAGTGAAAAGCATAGCTCAGTTTATGTTTTATTAATGGACTACAATTATGTGCTCAAGATGACAAATAGGAAAACTGACAAGAAAGGTGGCATTTAGAAACAATAGTCGTAATTGCACAAACAATTTTTTTCTCAGATCGTGAGATCACGAGTCTGCCTTGGCGTTGTTGTCTGGTTTTAGATCTCTTAAAGAGACATTTTATTACATCGAAAATCCAAGTTTGCATCTCTTCAGGAGGATAAACGTGTCTTCGGGATTCCCAAGCTATATACTGTGTTTCCACTTTAAATAATTTTCGACAGTTGAGCTCTAATATTCAGGAATGCATCGTTAAAAGTGTAAGTGTGTGAAGCGGCCGACACAACTTGCATGGTAAAAGCCCCATTTGAATAAGTAAACAACGCCTTGAATTTAAAATCTATCCACAAGCTTTGATCACACTTTTAAATAATTCTTTTGTTCCTATGGATTATTTTGGTTGAATAATTAAATTAGTAGTTTTCAATCACAGTGGCCAATCTTATTGTCCAATGTTTCCTTCTCCTGACTAACCGCAGAAAAAGTGCAGTGTGCTAAGCAGGTCGAACAGACCATAAAGTTTTCCGTCGAGTATAGAGGGACTGAGTTGATGTCGCGAATGCTACTAATTTCACGATTGTTTTGACTGATACGAAACACAAACGAAAACTTTGACCAATATTACAAACTCTAGAAAAGAAAAGCAGCTTTATTTACTTGGAGTAACATACTAGAATTTTTCCTCTCTTCTCATTTTTCTTAGCCTCCATGTACAAATAGTCGTTAGTTTTTTGTAGTAGAACGCAGATCATTTAGTTCGTATTTTACACTCTGTTTTTGTATGATTGGAACGAGTCAGGTCAAAGCACATGTGATTAAAGGTCGGCACACATTAATTTAAAAGCATTAGTATAAAAACATTAATATCTTAGTGAAACTAAGTATCTAATATGTAGGATTTGCCATCTAAAAAGTGATTTAAAAGCTACCTATTAAAGGTTAAGTATTGCACAAAAGCCTTCGAGATCTTTGTTGGAACATTGCCAAACGACATTTTCTACGATTGAATCATGTATCTGAGAAAATAGATATAAGTGAAGAGATACCTTTTCTGCAATGACAATTTCATGTTGAAGGACCAAACCTTTCTTTTGAAGGCGTCTTTCAAAAGATCTCCGTGATCGCGCCAAAGCCTCGGCCTCCTTCTTGGATTCTTCGTCTTTTCCATCCTTCTCTTTGCAAGTTTCGTACACAAGAACATAGTCGGTACGTTTTCCGTGATCCCTATCACGTGTGGATGATTTATCGGCTGAAGATTCTGCTAAAGGAGAAATGTTGACCTCAAGTTCAACGCCTTGGTTGGATCCATCTGTTTGGCTTAACTCGGAATACGATCCTCTGTCCATTGTGGGATCCTTTCGCTTTCTGAGTAGCCGCGATAACATAGACAGAAGCTTTAAATCGAGATGTCTTAGCCTTTGATGATATGCAGCTATGCGCTTCTATTGTCAGGTTTAAGTTCCTCTTAACCCACAGAAACTTAAAATGAGGCGGGAATCGTTAATCGTCTCTTGTAACAGGGAGTGGTTTTCTTCTGGAACAAACAAGACGCTTTGTGACAGACATTTCATGAAATAATCAAAATGCCAGTAGATCCATATATACCATAAATATTGATGAGAGCAGCTCCCGACGAACAATAACAATCTAAAACATTTGTTAGTTATATCCAGAAACGCTCACATCAAGTTTTGGTGGTGAATTTACCCTTCTTTCGCCAAAAAACATATAAACATTCATTTGCAATTAGCACTTCAGCTGATCAAACAACACTTTTTTCCGAAAATTTACGCATATTTGCAAAAGCACACCAATATAGCTGGGAAACGTTGTCAACGAGATTTAAAGCTTTTCACAAAAAGCTATAGTTTCCGCTAAAATCATATGGTACAGCTCAGTGATTCACACACAATGTTTTATAATTAAAAGGCGACTACTTTTCCTCTAATTTGGCGCTAATTTATTTTGATAATTTCGATACTTGGTTGATATTGCACTAAAAATTCCTGCTCGTTTTTCGTAGCCAAGGCATTACCTGCCAAACTCTTTTGTGCTATGGAGCCGAGCGTTTTTTGCAAATAGAGCAATGTTGCCTTGGTGACAGTGTTCACGAAGCTCCCACTGAAGTTTTCTAGGTATTGTATTAGTCACTAAAAAACTTTGGTGATCATGGCCGCTTCGAGTTCACATTTCACATGTTCTAAGATTTATTTCCTATGGAATTTTGCAGTCGGCGCGTCATTTGAAATAAAGATGCAAGAATAACATCTGATATATAGGCTCTGGCGGGACTGAGTTATGTTAATCACAAGTAGCCCGGGGGCGGAAGTTTTTCTTTGTATAGCAGCCATTAGCAGGTCACAGTTCAAAAATAAGATTTGAAACAAAAACATGGTTTTTTCTTAGCACAATTAAATATGAATAGTATTCATTAGAACTTAATCGCTCTAATTGAGGCGTGAGATTCTTGTCACGACATTTCCTCTTTCTAGGCATTTTTTGAAAGGGACACAATGACACTAACATACTCCTCCCCCAAATCTGTAAACTTCACAATGCTGCTGGTCAGAACGCAATAGGGCCTCACTTTTCAATGCGGTGAAACGATAACATAAACATAAGAGATAAAATTTTTATTTGACGTTTTTTAAATATTCTCTTAACCGCAATAGAAAAGCACTTATCTTCACCTTAGCATTGTCTTTTTCAAGTGGCTTTACACTCTCTATTTGCAAAAAATCAATCTGTGATCAGTTTATTCATAGTACTTTTGATTCATTTACTTGAAAGTTACCTTATCATTTGTGAAATAAAAAAAAGGAGCAAAGAATGTTTTTGCTGTTTTTCTTGCGATGGTAACTCATCCTTCACTAATAAAAGAGATAAAGGGGAATTACAAGAACATTAGATGTTCGAGTTATCGTGATCACGGATAACTGCTTTTTCCAGCTCTTTCTCTCTCTTCTTCTTGTATTCGAGTTCTTCGGGAATGTCGGGAATGATCCATGCGATGAACGTTGTGATAAAATACACAATGAACTGGAAAACAAACACGAAAGCAAGTCGAGCAGCTAGAATATTCCAGTACTCTCGAGAACGCTTGTACGGGTAAAAGTCTTCATGGTAACCTTTATACCTAAATGAAAAGCAAACAAGGCGGCTTAACACAATTCCATAGAAAGCAAACAAACTTATGGCCCTGACCACCCACTACTAAGTACCCAGGAGCAGAAAGGATTCAGGGAAATACGAATTTCACACTTGTAAGAGCATTGGCAATAACTAGATGTGGAGTGACTAATGCTTAATGTTACCAAAGGCATCCTGATCTTCGAACTTTTTAGACGGCGCAAAAAAAGCTGAATGAGAAATCTCTTGAGACCTCTGCCGTTAGCTTCAGTCTGATATCATCTCTCATGAACTGTAATACCTCCTTGCGCGCGGCGCGACTAAACCTTGATATGAATTCAGAATTGAGACCTGCAACGGATGGTGGTCTATACAGGATCTGTTAGTCCTGCATAGACCATCTTTCTTGACCGACATACCTGCAGTAGTTCCGCGTGTAATTAAGATTTTGTGTTGGATTAATTGGTTGAGTGCCATTTTCCCACGTGTAGAGCGTATTTAGGTCAATGGATGCGAGACTGTTGTTGACGTATCCTATGAGTGTCCCTTTACTAGAGGGATCGCCATTTCGTCCAGAGTAAACCATCTTGTAGACGAGCTTGGGAATAAATTCGGAGGTGAAAGCTAAAACAAACGCGTTCACCAACACGGAAATCTTAGTGATGACTTCCAATACAGTATACCAGGCTCCTATGTCTTCAGCTCGGACGGCATCAGGACGGCGGAAGTGGCACAAAAAATTAATGGCATCCAAGCGAATCTCTACGATTATATTTAGAAGTGCAAACAACGGGCCCAGAGGAAATGCAGCGACGAACATGGTTATAAATCCATACTGCAGAACTGAAGGGAAAAATGAAACGAATGACTGAAATGAAGTTCTTAAACACGTTTTGTCGATACATTGAAGACTCACCTATTTCAAGGTATTCCCAGAACATGAAATGCTTCTCTAAAGGATTCAAATCAAAATCTTGTTCGTACTGTGGTCGGTCACCAACCTTCTCCTGGCTTCGCTGTTTCCATAACAACATCATGTACCTTAAGAGATAAAACGGATCTCCATTAATGATTGTGCTGTTAACTAGACAAATAGTCATGTAATTTGCAGAACACTTACGCTGTGAGGGTGTCCTCAAAATGTTTGAGACCATTTGTACTTCTGTTCACATTCCTACACTGTTTCAATAAGTAATTATTTCCGCTTTTAGCCAATTAGATACCACCGAAGGAATAACAAATAACATCATTAAGATTTTTTTTTCAAAAACCCATTTGACTACATCTTTCCTCAGAAAAACAAATCAAATGAAAAGTACTCACGGAATTCCAATTTCTGTGAAGTTGTAGAAAATTTGCTGTCCAACCATGATAATGGCAATCTGAATGGCCAGCTCCAAAAAACATCCTTGCTCGCTACACCCATCCAGTCGATATTTACCGAGCACTCTTTTGTACCTGCCTGGAGTTCCAACAATTATCTCTGACTTGAAGAAAGCGATGTAGAAAATAGAAGTGTAATTGTTGACGAATTGGAACAGGGCCATCTTGCGGGTGAAGCTATCTTTGTAAGCCGTCCTGGTGGGATGGTTCTCCCAGTCCGTCAGAAAGACAGCGAGTTTGTTGTAAACAAACTTTAAAATCGTGATTGCTATCAGGTTAAGCAAGCCTGCTGTAGCTGTTGTCAGGATCCGGGCCCCTTGCTCGATTTTCTTGTCCGAACTGCTGCTGAAAACTGCGAAAACTGCTGCACGGTACACAACCACACCTACCATTGCTGCAATAACGAGAAGTATCATGAAGGTAATGACATTGCACACTAAACCCAGTCGTCGAAACTTCTTTATTTTGATAACGTTTGGGCCAAATTTTCCAGTTAATGGGTCTGCTTTGTAAGGATTAAGGTCTTCCTCAGTCAAGCTCGCTAAGTACTCTGGGCGAAATTCTTCTTCCTCTTCTTCAAACTCCGATGTGTGCCATTTCTGGGCGAGAAAAGCTTGACGCCGTTTCCAGAATTCAAGAAAAAGTGACGCCCACATGGAAGCGATGAAAGCCAAAGCTACAGTTCCATTATGGTCAAAGTAATGCGTTAATTTCGCGTAAATGCAGGTGTCTGGAGCTAAATTCCAGTAGCTAAACCGGCGATCACACAATGGGCACATGTACCATCGACCCCTGTTGTCTTCGTTGCACATGTCAAGTACTGGAACATAAGAACCAGTTGATATAATGCCACATAGAAAGACGATTAAAGAAATCATTGCAAGTGGAACCAGCATGCCAGTGTAAAATCCGAGCCAGGCGAAGTACAAGCCGATTTCATGGCCAAAGTACTCCTTGATGGTATCGTACGGTTGGTATTTGAAAATTCTGCCAAATCGTGCCCAGTCTCTCTTCAATTGTTGGCGCGTGTTGACTGGAGACTCGCCACTTTCTAATCGATGTTTTCCTTCATGCAAAGGGTAACATGCCAGATATACACCATCATAAAGAAGCTTTGAGAGACCCACGTCATTCGGCTGATCTGAGAAAGGTGTGCTGTTAAGGATTTGCTGCAGAAGATGTTGGCGATCAATGACTGAGAAAAGCGAATTTTCGCTGATATTTTGATCGATGACATACTTGGAAAGATGATCTCTTTTGAATGAGCCCATAAAATAATCTGTATTTTTCTTAATGGATGCATCACGAATTTTAAAAGGGTTTCGCTTGTTAATGGCCGTAACTACGGTTGATCCCAGCAAGTACTCCAACCAAGAACTAAAAACGGTGTCGTTAACCTGAAGCGGAACCTTAAGTTTTGCAATCTCGGCTCTTTCAGCTAGAACTTCCAAGGGAGCGTGGATCAAGACAAAATGCCTCAAAACCTCAGTATCCTTTCATAAGAAAAAAAGAACAGATGAAATATGTAAAAGAACTTTTTTCATTGTAACGTTGGATAATGAATGCAATTTTCCTTTCAGAAGCTTCTCTCGCGAAAATTAATTCTAAAACAAAAGTTAACTCAATGATACTGGACTCTAACCTTCTTAATTGTTTTAATTTGCGCTAACAAATAAATACTATGGCAAAAAATTCCATGTGTTTCCTTTAAAACCAAATTATTTCTCTGGTGGGCAGTTACTGGTCTGAGCCATATTTGCTTAGAAATCGATGTGTCATGTACATGCATGTATTTTACGGTTCGAGTCACTTTTGTATCCATGAATATTTAACTAAACAGGAGAGCAAAAGTTAATTAAGAATTAACATCAAACCTTACAGAAGTAGGTATCACTTCTTACTGTTGTTTGTTACCCCTGTTTGGCTTAAAATCGCCCTGACTGAAATTCAGAAATAAAAATAATGCACCAGCCTAAAGCGTGCAGCGCTGACTGTAACGGTTGGCTAGTTTTCTATCTGCTAAACATATCAAAAAGTGGTCGTACCTTTTGAATTACTCGTGTCTGTCGCTGAAGGATTAATCCTCGTCTTTTGAGCTGGTTTTCGAAGAATGCTCTTTGGGTCGTCAGTTTTAGGGTTTCCGCGTTAGATTGTTCACTTGCTTCTTCGTTTTCTTCACAAGTTTCAAAGACCAATACGTAATCAATTCTTCCCCATGGCTCACCGTCGCTCAAGTAAACTCCTTCGTTATCATTTGCGCTTAAATTTGCAGAATGAATTTCATACTCTTCCTCGTCCAAAAGTCTTGAAAATTTTGTTTCACTCATGTTCGGCTTTTTTAAAGCAAACTGAACTCAAGTAGCGCTTCGGGACTCGAAAGGTGTTCAAAACCACTAAATTGCTTCCCCTCGAGGCAATATACTGTTCTTTTGAAACAATGTTACGTGCCTGACTCGATATTTCTGGACTTAACTAGAGGACAAAGTCTACTCAGTTGAGCATAATAAAGATACCGCAAGAATTTACTCACGCACTTTGATAAGAAAATCTGGACTAAATTGAAAACATTCTTAAATAAAATCTTCACAGGAGTTTCCGATTTTTCTAACCCTGTACCAACGTGTCAATTCCTGAAGATCGTAAACGATGCTTTTTTGAATCAGGTGTTCAACTGGAGGCGCTTCTCTTCGTCTACGGTATCTAATATAAATCCCCTGTACTTGCTCGCCATTTATTAATTTCTAAAAATCTTCAACCTCCATCATAAAACAGAGTTGACAGAACTAGCCTCTTTAATTTCCTGGCACATTAGTTGCCAACAGAAAAGGGTACTGTGATTTGGGTCACCCTCCATGAGCGAAAGCCTTAGCCAGTCAATTCAGTAATTCCAAATTAAAATCTCAATATATTTGCCTACCCATATTTCTGTACTTAAAACAATATAAATACTTTATGGAGCTAAGCGCTAGCTGAATCGAATCTTTAAAAATGAAGCTCGGGCATACTTTAAGCGCCCTCTTTCAATCGCCCAAGCAGAGAGCTAGTTGATTAAAGTAATTCTAGAACTTGAGGTCACGTTTAATTTTACGATTCCGTAGAGCTTATCTTGGTCAAGTCAGTATCAAATCACAGCTCCCACGTAAGTGCTAATAATTATGTCTCCTTTTAGAAACAAATGTCAACCTCATTGAGGCGTTAAGCTGACAGAACTGTGGCTTTCAGCTTACGAAATATTTACACTTCCTTCACTCTCGCGGAGTAGAGTTCATTCAAATTTCACACAACACAAAGAATGTATCCAGTTCACGACAAGCGATCCCCTCTGCGGCTCATCAATCTTTATATTCGACGAATGTTCCAAGTTGAAATTGGTAAAAGTTTGACCATAATTTTCTTCCCTCTTCAATTTCTACCAAAGAAACACTCACTCTTCCATTGAACTTTGGGCGGGCATAACTTACTCTACACGGACGAAGTTTACAATTAAGACAAAACTATTGTGGAGGTCACGTCACTTTCACCCACAAGGCCGATGAGCAATGATCTCAGATAAAATAAACAGTGACCTTCAACGATTTGTTGCCTAATAAACGTGTGCAGACCAGCGCAGATAAAAGCCACTGGATGTAACAAAAAAGCAGCTGAAAGATGCACTTAAAGAGCAGAGTTTATATTTCTGAGCTATTCGCTGCTTTAAAGAAAATCTTCATTCAACGAAAAGCGTGTAAAAGTATGACGGAGCAAGCCACTGCACCAGATAGCCTTAACCTCCCCACTGCACCAGACAACTTTTCCCTTCCTACCCCGGCCTAAACTTAGAAATTAAACTCTTTTTTATTGACAAACATTGTTAAAGTGGTGGCCTTCATATAACAACAAGCAGCAGTTCCCTTTGAGCATGCGTAACTCAAGTTAATGTTTCATTGGACCCATATTGCAGGTTAGCCCACAAGAACAAGCGTAGTATTTGCGTTTTTCAGGCGAACGGAGGCAAATGCGAGGCGAGTGCAAAGTTTTAGTCGCGCGCGAGGGGAGAAGCAAACAGAAAAATGACGCCTGTACACACACTGTTGGCCAAGATCTTTTGCCTTCAGATACACCTCCAATCACCAACCTATTCAATAACCACAGCTGAATTCTAATGTCTATGTGTTATTTTAATGGATCTCTGTAAATCTCTCGTCTTTATCAAGTAAGATTGTCCGCAATGTCCACCTGCCTGAGTCGAAGTTTAAGTTGTGTTTGCAGGTGGGCTTTTGACAATTTGTATCATTTAGAAAGGACAGCATTTTACCAAAACTTAAACGTGCTCTCTATTCAAGATAACGGCTCTTAATTTGTCTCTTGATTCCCTCGTTCCTCACCTTCCGTTCAGCAAACAGAATGATATTTTCTCATTTGTGTTCCCCAGAAAGAAGAACACAGTTACACTACTAACCTTTTCTTCGAAAGTTCAATGATCCTTTCCTCCGGGCGCATCCTGACTATGGCACCCGCCACCCTCCCGCCAACCAGACGGGTGGTCAGACACCGTCATATTTCTGCCCAGCGCTGACAAATTAAAACCACAGGAGTGAAAGGTATAGAGCTGCAATAACTAAAAAGTATAGCCGGACTAGGGTCTAATTCAATGTACGGCTACCGAACCCTCCTGGTTTTGATGTTACCCTCCCCCATGGCCAGGTTATTCGGCCCAAGTTTACAAATCCTAACTCTGGCTCTGAGAGCTTTTTCAACCAGTTAGTCAAATCACAACTCAAGATGAAAACATTTTTTGTTAACCACTAGAATTCTAGCGGAATGAAGACAGGGTGCTTACCAAAATATCTTGAACTGGAAAAGAAATTCTCACATTCAACTTATAATTCTAGCGCAGCCTCTAAAAAGCTTCAAGGATAACTGCGTAGACTAACACCGATCATTTTGACAACCTGCCAAAGCTGGTTCATGGCGGTGTCTCGGCCTGCAAGGATTCAAGGTCTGACTTGATGACAAGTACGTGATACTTTTAGACAACTTTAGTACTGTGATGCTTATGAGCACTGAACTCAACACCAAGTAAAGACGACGTTTTAAATGAAATTAATGATAGGCCAACTGCATAGCAATATTAATAAGACAGCGGTAAAAGATTACTGGATTAAAGGAAATACACGTAGTTTTTTTTACGTACGCCTGGAAGGTCCTGGTAGCTTGATGGAAGCATTTTAAATCTTGAAACATTGTTCAAGACTCTAGAGAACTAATCTACTTTCCCTGTGTTTATATACACTTTTCCTTTTGTATACAGCTTGTTTTCTAGCTTTCGGAGAGGTCAGCGGTTGTGGACTACAATCACAGAATTAACCAGTCTCACTGTAATATAAGAATTTTTGCTGTTTAAAAGTCTGAACTTCGGTTCCCCCTGCCCCCCCTCCTCTCTCCCCAAAGAAAAACAAAACAAAGCAAAACAAAACAAAAAAGCAAATAAGATCTTAGTGAGATCTTAGTTATATAAATATATGTATATAACATGTTGATCATCGGTTGCCCCAGGATCTGATCAGTAATTCGCGATCTCCTTCGAGGCTTCAGTATTTTTTTCGGAAAATTCAGTAGTCGACTTAAGATCGCAAGCTCTTACAAATAGTTTTCCAAATTTTATCGTCGTTTTCGATGGATAATGAATTGAAATTGTGGCAAGAAGTTTCATGTGTATCACTTCAGGGAGGTCAAGGGTTAAGACGCGTACTGTTGACCAAATTTCTTGCTGTCAATGACCTCATCTAGGGCATCTTCATACTGTGTTACGTTATCATCATCATCTTCTTCCTCAAGCTCCTCGATGTCACTGTCATATTCAGGAGTATGGAACACTGTCTTGACCATTTCTCTTTCTCTTTCTATAATGAACTGTAGCTCATCAGGCGTGTCAGGCACTAACCAAGCTATAAATCCCGTCACAGTGTAAACTACAAACTGAAATACGAACACGAAGGCTAACCGAGCAGTGAGGAGATGCCAGTATGCCTTGGAGAAGCCATAAGGGTAAGTGCTGTCATGGAAGCCAGGGTATCTATTCACAAAGGAAACAGTATAAGAAACCAACTTTTTTTTTATGTATACAGCGAATACTGTGGGGTAAAAAGTCTGCCCCAGGAGTACTGCATCTTGTGAGAAGCGCAAGGCAGCTGAAAACAGCAATTAATCTTGGTTAGATCGGTCATCAACAGGATAGAATTCATTCTAGAATGACTGCAGCTCCAAATTTTCTGCCCTAAAGTTGTTCTATGAAGCTTGAGGATGGACAGGACACAACAGATTGGAAAAGGTAAAAAATCCCAGTAAGCAAGCGGGAATCAGATATGGCCTTAGTGGGTTTGTCCTTTTTGATAAAGCGCCTCCTACTCTGTGACTGAGAAATTATGACAAAATTTTGAGAAAAAATAGCGTAATAAGCATTGTATTGCAATCGCGATGAAGGCTATTGTAACAACCTGCAGTGATTTCTTGTGTAGTTTAGATTTTCTGTTGGGTTGTCCGGCTGGGTTCCATTTTCCCACGTAAAGAGGGTATCTAAATCAATAGCAGCAAGAGTAAAATTAAGGTATCCCTTCAGAGTGCCTCCGCCGGGAGAATGGCGATCAGGAGCGTACATGACTTTGTAAAGGAGTTTCGGGATAAACTCTGAAGTGAACGCGAGTATAAACGCGTTCACCAGCACCGAAGCTCTTGTTACAGCTTCCAGAACGTCGTACCAGGCCCCTATGTCCTCAACACGGGCAACATCTGGTCGGCGAAAATGGCACAAGAACTTGATGGCGTCCAGACGGATCTCAATGATGGTGTTGATGAAGGCAAACAGCGGGCCGAGAGGAAACGCAGCCACAAACATGGTCACAAAGCCATATTGTAAAACTGAAATCAAGTCGAAAGTTTTTTTTGTCAAGAATGATTCTGAGATTCCCGCAATCAGTGCCTCAGGCAACGTATGATTCAGAAGTATCAAAGGCCAAATGGCATTTTATCGACTTATATTATATTGAGGTAACATGGTATCTTGAAGAGGCAAATTACATTAGGTCTCCATCGAGTAAGTGTTTGCGAGAAAAAATAATTATGCAAGGGATCTTTAGCCTGTAACAGTAATTGTTATGGAGACTGTGGATCGTGATGCGTAGGTCCACCGAGTGAACGGGAGGAAAACCTCGATTTAATTTACTCTGCAACTTTATTTTTTTTACTACCAGCATCACTGTAACTATGATTAAATTTATCATCATTATTATTATCATCATTATTATTATCATCATTGCATTTTTCGATTGCGCAGTTGAGTTGCAAATTTTTCTCGCTCGCTTAGCAATTTATAACTTGGCTTTATCATGGCATTTGAAAATTCAGCTCAGTTGGAAAGGTATCACTTGTTAGAGATTTCAAATTCTTACCTATTTCTAAGTACTCCCAGAACATGTAATGCTTTTCACATGCAGTTAGATCATAGTCGCTTTCGTACTGAGGACAGGTATCTGGATTTTCTTTGTTACGGCGATTCTTCAACAGACTCAAATATCTGCGGAAACGCAATGAGTGCGTGCACACTTAGAAAAGAATGTCGTGTTTGAAATTGGGGGAAGGAAAGAAATGAACAAACTCGGACAAAATTTAATCTCTCTAAAAGAATAAACTTGGTACTTACGGCATCGCCATTTCAAATATGTTGAAGAAAATTTGCTTTCCCACCATGATTATAAAAAGCTGAACAGCAAGCTCCAAAAAGCATCCTTGCTCGCTACAGCCGTCTAGTCGATATTTGCCCATCAGCCTCCTATATTTTCCAGGAGATCCCACAATAAGGTTCGATTTAAAGAAAGCAATGTAAAATAGCGCTGAATAGTTGTTAACAAACTGGAAAGAGGACATTTTCCACGTGAAGCTGTCCTTGTAGGCGCTTTCTGTGGGTGGGTTCTCCCAGTCAGTGAGCCATACAGCCAGCTTCTCGTAAAGTTTGGACAATAACATTATAAAAACAAGATTGATAAGGGCAGCCGTTGCTGCTGTGATAATACGAGCGCGTTTTTGAACATTGTTGTCCCTGCTACCACTTAATACAGCAAACATGGCTGCACGGTACACAACTACGCCAATTGCGGCTCCAAGAACCAGAAGAATCATAAAAGCTACTACAGCAAAGACTGTACCATATCTTCGGTATGTCTTGAGCTTGGAAACCATAGGTTCTATTTTGCCTGTCTCTGGGTTACGTTTGAATAGAAACATTTGCAACTGTTCATCTGGTAAACTTTTCCTGTATTCAGGACGTAACGGTTCTTCTTCTTCTTCGAACTCAGAGGTGTGCCATTCCTGAGCGAGGGATGCTTGACGACGCTTCCAAAACTCGAGGAACAGCGTGGCCCAGATGGCCACAACAAAAGCAAGGAACACAGTTCCATCGTTGTCAAACAGATGGGTTGTGTAAGCATACATGCAGATGTCTGGGGCCAGATTCCAGTAACTGCATTGTTTGTCACAGAGTGGACACATATACCAACGACCTCTGTTTTTCTCGTCGCAAAGATCTTGAACAGGTAAGTAGGAGCCTGCCGATATAACACCAGTGATGAATACCAGTAGGCCAACAATGGCAAGTGGAAACAACATGGCAGTGTAAAATCCAAGCCAAGCAAAATACAGGCCGACCTCGTGTCCAAAGTAATCCTTGATAGCGTCGTAAGGTTGATACTTAAAGAATTTGCCAAATCTCGCCCAGTCAGCTTTTAACTTCTGCCGATCATTCGCCAGAGCCTTCCCTTCTTCCTGCGATTCTGGACCATCATGAAGTGAATACGCAGGAAGGTAGGCCTGATCCAGAAGGAGCCTCTGTAGCCCAACCCCGTCCGGTCCCCTCGCAAACCGGGCGTTTTGAAGCAAGTGTTGGACGATGTAGTGGCGATCCAAGACACTAAAAAAGCTCTCTTTGTCTTCGTTGTTCACATACTCACTCAAGTAATCTTCTACAAAGGGAGCCATGTAGAAGCTCGGCCTTTCACCCAAGGTGGAATCATGAAGGACAAAAGGATTTTTGCTCTGCAGCTTTTCAAACAATTTGTGCCCAATTATATTCTCTATCCATGATGAAAATACAGCGTCGTTAGGTCGAAGAGGAACCTTTAATCTCATCCGTTGAGCACTCTGTGCTAATACATTCCAAGGTGCATGTATCAGCACAAAATGACGTTCTATTTCTGGATCCTGCATAAAAAAATTAAAATCAAATTGAAAATTTACATGTACATTGATGATGCAAACAAGAGTTAATCGAATTTTACTCTGAAAAAGGAGAGAGCGCGCTGTACAATTAGGAGCAGTTTATCACTGCCCCTTCTTTGAGCAGACTCTCTTTCAAAGTGAACGTAATTCGCTTAAAAGTACTTTCGCGCAAGTAACGTGAGCAATTCCTACTCTTGGCGTGTCAAGGCGGTAGTACTTTTACCACAAGGCTTTACAGGTACTTGTAACCGTTCTACTGAAATTGATATTTTGATCCTTCTGTTCCTTTGAGTTTATAAATCGGATTAAAGAATGTTAAAGGATCGATAAAATTCAAGGCAGCTATCGCAAGCGATGAAAACCTGAAGTAAGAACACCGATTTACTGAAAAGCCCTGTGGGTAATGCAATTGAAAACATGGCCTTAAAAGCCTCCAAATACATATTGAATGTGATAAAATGAAATTGCAATAAAAGACTTCCTAACTTAATTATTTACCTCCCCGATGATCACAGTCTTGCGCTGCACATCTAACCCAAGCTTATTTTCAAGGCATTTTTCAAATGAATATCGCCATGCGACAAGCTTCCTTTGTTTTGCGAGAGCATCAACATCCAGTCTGCTGACATCCTTTTGGGTTTCGTAGACCAAAACGTAATCAATATGCTTTTCGTGGGTTCTATTTCTCTTTTGTAGTCTGCTTGGATCGTCTTCAAGGGACACTTGCGATTTTTCAGTTAACTCTATCTTGATGTTATCGATTCGGTCCAGCCTTGCATAGGATCCTCTTTCCATATCAATTTTATATTTTCAGCTTTGCAACGTTTTCAGGTGACGACAGATGCGGTTAAGTCTAGGAATTCTTGTCGAGAAAATACGTTAGCAGGGTGTACTAGGTTCGACGTCCTTTTGAAACAGGCGAATAATTTCAAAAGGCGTTAAGAACCGTTTTGAAATGCGATTCAGCGTTGAAAAAATCGCGCCGTTATTATTTATTCAAACTGTTTTTATGATACTTTGGAGACACATGGCTTTATGACAGCGTTAATAATTTATTACATGAGGAGGTTCTTCTAGTTCTGTACTTGTAGTTATTAAAAGTTCTCCTGAGGCGGCTTTGTAAAAACTGTAATTTATCATCTTATGCGACAATAAAGTAATCTTCTGCAAGATCAATATTTTGGCTAAGTTACTATCGCTAATAGAGAAGTATCGATAATAGAAACAAATTGCATTTTAAAGCGGTCAAAATGTTGGCAGCAACTTGGCGTCTTTCGTCCTCTTTTTATTGGCTCGTTTCATTTGGATGTTTTCCAAGGTTTCTCGTTTAAAGAGGAGCTCTTTTCTAGTAAATATAAAGTTGAAACAAAGATGATGCTGCAATTAGGCAAATAACATTTTCAAGGAAACAAGTGGTGCTTTTATATTGCAATGTGTTGTTTCTTTAATTTGACGCACAAACACCTGTAGCTAAGGATGAAGCGAGCGATCCAGGGGGTGACGAAACAAACAAGCTGACGCATAATCCACCAGCAAAACTGAAAAAAAACGAGGATCTGGAAGCCCTGGTTATGTTGCAATAGGGAGGGCGTTGGCAGTATTATTTTACTGCAAAACGTAATTGGAAAATTATTCCTTTGAACAGAAATCGTGGCAATCGTTATCTGCTGGTGTCCAGCAATATCCACGTTTGACATGACGTTTTACAGCACATAGTACATAACTGCTATATTACATTAACATGTAGCAGTGTCTATTGTTTTAGCTGAGGCTCCTTATTTCAAGGAACTGAATTTCCTCTCAGAAGCTCACTGCTGTTTCTTTTGCTCTGAAGCTTTGTGTGATGCAAGCTTTCCCATGGACCCATTTTAGGTTAATGTAAACGGAGTCGAACTGGATGACAAAACTGACAAAAACAAGAAAGAATTCTTCCCTTAAGATATCAATCTATTTTTTTTTTCCGCCCTGCTGGTGAACAACACTTTTTGTAACTGTCAGGAAAGGGTCTAATGGATGAGGACAAGCTGTAATGCTTTCTAATCCTTAATTTGAATAACTATGCAACGATTGTTTTTGATGGAGCGATTTGAAATGTTTGCATTAATATTCCAGATTCCCTTTTTTTAAAGGTTTTTTATTACTGGTTAGAACCAGTGGATGCTTATGGAAGTATATTGTAACAAGGGTTTCTGTCAACTTTTAAGAGAGAAAAATAAAGCAATTATCAAGAAAATTATCATGAACCTTAGGGATTTGTTTATTTTTTTTCTTAATTGAAAATGATCACTTGCAACTTTGCAAGTGCTGAATTAAAGATTCCACTTTTAGTTTATCGCAATCGCACGCTGGGTCCTTTTCAGAGAAAAAAAGGAACATTTTACAATAAATGATGCTTTTTGTTCTTAACCTTGAACGCTAGAGCACCAAGCGAAATATACAAACTCTCGTCTAGATTAAGGTTATCAGTACCTGTTTCTAAACTAAACCATCGTTCAAAGTAATGATGAGCCAAAATACATTTGTAAGATATGAAAATATCGAATTAGCTTGAGATAGTACTTGCTCTGAATGTAACAGAACATAAAACAAACAATTCTTACGACTCAAAATTTAGACGAGTCAAAACTGCGAAAATTGCCTAATATGTAAAAAATATTTCTACCTTTTTTTTCTAAAATTGTATAGTACAAGATATTACTAAATGGTCAGAACATATTACACGCAAGTGATGATTTATTACATGAAAAGTTTTATCCACGTAGAAAATTTGAAGCCCTTAACAAAAGACAAAACTGAAACATGGGCCTTTGAAATGGGGGCAGTGCGGGAAAATCGCACGAAAAATGAGCCATGCCAAGTACACGAAAATAAATTTTTCATGTATTGTTTATTTAGCTGAAAGAATGATGTTTCGATCTGAAAATTCATTTTCATACTTATGGCTGGTGATGGTCAGTCGTGTGTTTTATTTCCACAGCTGTTCTGAAATTATGATAAAGTATTAACCTCATTACAGCATCTCATTATCACCAAGCACGTGATGGTCTCCATTGCTCTCATCGATATCATACTTCTTTTTAAACGCCAACTTCGTCAAATGCTTTTCTCGTTTTGCCTTCAAATCCAGATCCTTTGGAACATCAGGTACCATATAGGCGATGAAACCGGTGATGAGGTACACAGAGAACTGGAACACAAACACGAATGCGAGGCGCGCAGCTATCACGTGCCAGTATTGCTTGTTTTGTTTGTAAGGTGCGGTCGATGCAAAATATCCATTATATCTGAGAGTTAGAAATAAGGATCATTTTAGTCGTTGATAGGCAGTGTGTTGAAATACCTGGAAGAACTAGAAAACCTAACCAATGATCCAGCCGAGGCTAAAACCCAGTTCTCTAGCGGTAACCACAAGAACACCACGTATCAAGCAAGTTTGCATGAAATGATGAAAGAATACATTTGCAGTTTATTAGAAAAAAAGAGAACTGCTCGATATCATTTACAAAAACAACATCAATTGAAGAAAAACAAAAGGGAGAGAGACGAGCAAAGGAAACTTGAAAGGATGTCTTTACCTGCAATATCCCTTGGTGTAATTGAGATTTTCATAAACGTTTTCTGGCTCTGTTCCAGGTTCTTGCTCGAACAGGTATGTCAGATTAATAGACGCCAAAGAGTTGTCGATGTATCCAGTCAAGGTGGCTCCTCCTGGCGAGTCGCGATCCGGAGCATATTTCATTCTGTAAAGAAGCTTTGGGATGTACTCTGAGGTAAAGGCCAGCACAAATGCATTCACAAGGACTGAAATTTTAGTCACACCCTCAAGGATTCGGAACCAGGCTCCAATATCTTCAGCACGTGCAGCGTCTGGCCTCCTGAACTGCGATACAAAGTTGATGGCATCTACACGGATTTCAACTATGGCAGTAATAAGGGCAAACAGAGGACCCAGAGGGAATGCAGCCACGAACATGGTTACAAATCCATATTGCAAAACTGCAAGTCGAATAAAATGCATATGTTAGACATGATTTAGGTCGAAAGTTACGTGCCCAAGACATAGGGACATTTTCTCTGTGTTCGCTATAAGAAAAAAAAGAAAAACATCTCAAAAGACAGCTCATCTCTTCCTCACTTTAAGCCATTGTTGATCTAGGATTGATTACATAACTTGGACTGATAAATAATTAAAACACATCTCCTAAGTTTTATCCTTAAGAGGTTTCAAAAAATCTTGAATGACGAAAGGTCCGTCGAAAACAATCCAAATGGCGGTATCTTTAGAATGGCGGATGAGGCTTTTAGTGTAAATTGTTACTAAATAAAAAAAATTGATACAGCTTACCAACTTCGAGATACTCCCAAAACATGTAGTGGTCACCTTGTGGACTGAGATCATAGTCATGCTCATACTGTGTTTGATCTTTCTTAGTTTCTTTGCGCCTCTTTAACCAATACAAGACGTATCTGTGAGGAAATTGGCGATAACATATGAATGAGAACTGCTATTGAAAGCTGCTAAGAAGCAGGGCAAGTAAGTTGCTTTTCAATTTCTTAGTACCTAGAACCGAGTCAAAGAAATTGTTGTAGAATCAAGAAAACATGAGCTCTGGGTGGAGTATGCAAAATATAAAACAATTTACTTATACATGCTTACTAACTGGCAGTCTGCAGAAACGTTTTCCACATTTAAACCAAAAGTTACGCAAATTTACATATTTTTAAAGATTGTTTTAAGATATACTTCTAGCTCTACAAGAACAGTCTTAGATGCGGTATCTTACTCTTAGTTCGTTTGGAGAAAGAGGTTACTTTCTTATGGGGTGTTTTAAAGCGACCTATTTTTTAACTTACGGTATTACAACTTCAGTGACGTTTCCAATGATCTGCTGTCCAACCATGATGATGAGAAGCTGGACACAAAGCTCCAAGAAGCATCCTTGCTCGCTGCACCCATCCAATCGAAAACGACCACCTATGCGCTTGTACCTTCCAGGGGTTCCGACTACCAACCCTGACTTGAAAAAGGCAATGTAAAAAATGGAGGCATATGTGTTCACAAATTGAAACAAGTACATTTTCCAAGTAAAGCTGTCTTCGTAGTCGGTGCGCGTGGGTGGGTTCTCCCAGTCAGTCAGGAAGACGGCCAATTTGCTGTAAGCAAACTTCAGGAGGTTGATTGCGAGAAGATTAAGGAGAGCAGCAGTTGCTGAGGTAATAATCCTGGCACGTGTTTGGATTTGTTTGTCTTTGTTTCCACTTAAGGAAGCAAAAACTGCAGCACGATAAACGACTACACCAATTACAGCAGCGATGACGAGGAAAATCATGAAAATGATGATGCTAAAAACCCCGCCATACCGCTTGTATAGGGTTAACTTGGGTACGTACGGCTCCATCTTTCCTGTGGCTTCATTTTTCCTCAGGGTTGTCACGGTTGCAGAGTACTCAGGACGAAGAGGTTCCTCTTCTTCTTCAAAGTCATCTGTGTGCCACTCTTGAGCAAGACTAGCTTGGCGACGCTTCCAGAACTCAAGGAATAGAGTCGCCCACACAGACGCAATGAGAGCCAAGCCAACTGTCCAATCATTGTCAAAGAAATGAGTGACGTAGGCATAGAGACAGGTTGACGAGGCTAGATCCCAGTAGCTACACTGCCTGTCGCACAGTGGACACATGTACCATACATCTTTGTTTTTCTTATCGCAGACATCTTTGACTGGAATGTGAGAGGCCGCGTCGCCAATTCCGTACAGAAACACAATAAGACCAATGATGGCCAGCGGTACTAACATGGCCGTGTAAAATCCAAGCCAAGCAAAGTACAGGGCGATTTCGCTACCAAAGTAATCCTTGATTGCTCCATACGGCTGAAATTTATAAAACCTCCCAAATCTGGCCCAATCTCGATGCAATCGCTGTCGGTTATTGGAAGGCTCCTCCTCAGGTTCTAGATTAACAGGACCATCATGAAGTGGGTATCCTGCCAGATATGCACCCTCATAGATCATTCTTCTGAGCCCAACACCATGTCGACCTTCTGCAAAGCGAGCATTGAAGCAAATTTGTTGCACAATGTATATGCGGTCAATGTTGTCAAAAAACTCCGCTTTGTTGTGGTGATTGATAAACTTAGTAACCTCGGTTTCTTTGAAGTTAGCCATGAAGTAGCTGCCCTTGTCTTCTAAAGTAGGATCTTGCACAATCAAGGGATTTCTCCGACGAAGTGACTGCATTCTTTCGCTTCCGATGCTTTTCTCCATCCAGGACTTAAACACAATATCGTTCTCTTGAAACGGAACTTTGAGACGCATCGCCTCAGCCTTTTTAGCCAACACGGGCCATGGAGCATGAAGGAGGACAAAGTGTCGCTTGACTTCCGGATCCTGGTGGAAAAACCATGCAAAAGATTTCATTAGAAAAGTTTCGATCAAAGATGTTACGTTCAGAAACGTCACAAAGCTTTTTTCTATGTCATATTTTACTGAACTACCCCATAATTTACGATTTGCTTTTTCAATAAATCGCCCTTTTAAACAAGTTTGTCGATGAAAGATTTTTGCCTGCCTCGAATCAACTTAAGCTCAAGTGTTTTAAATAAAAGCAGGTTAAATAGCTCATTTTATTGGCTAACACATCTCTTAACTTTTTGGACGATTTTGATACGAGACACATGAACGCATCACAGTTTCTTTGAACGCTTAAAAAGATTCAGTATATGAACTGAATAGAGATCACATGGCGAGATTTATCGTAATACGGCAATAATTGAGAGTGATAAGTGTATACTGTTACGTAATTAACTGCTCAGTTCCCCATATCACTTACCCCTCCAATGAAGTTGGAGGTAAGAAGGTGGAAGGAAACTTTTAGCAAGAAGCTAGAGATTTTTTTTTTTTTGAAGTACACTTTATGCCATTATTGGCTTCTTTTCTTACGCATGATCGAGTTTGGAAAAAACTGAACTTTGCTCTGAAGTGTTTATGGGAAAGATGACAAAATAATTAGCATTAAATCAATGATATTATTGTATGAAGCTTGACAGTATTGATCACTACGATAAAGTGTACAGTTTAGTTGTTTCTCATGGTGATTTCAAGCAAAATTTAGATTTGAAAAGCAGCAAACTTTCCATTCATTATCGTACGTGTTCCAACCAAACAAGAAAGAGAATTAGTGATACATGCTGAATTACAAAGCGCGACAGTCGGCGAGAGTAGCCCCACCTGCGGAGAAACGATTTCATCGTATTCTATGTTTAACCCTTCTTTCCTCAAGCAGTCTTCGTAAGCTTTCCGTTGGTGTTGCTTACTGTCATTTGAATTATCATTGTCCTTTTGGTTTGTTTCATAAACCAACACGTAGTCGATGTGCCTTGGTGGCTCTGCATCGTCACTGAAATATACTCCTTTCGGAACTCTTTCATTTGATTGCTCCCTTAATTCTAGCTGTGTATTTTCGTTTTCATCTTCCTCATCTTGGCTTAATCTGGTGTAACCGCTAATTCTATTGCTCATTTTGCCGGGTTCCTTGCATCTCCGTAAGCTCCTCAGAATGGCGTCAGTGAGTTGGAGAATAGGTGGGTGTGATAAACTTCTGTTTCTCGGCTCATTGGTTTCACCGAATAGTAAGATTTTGTATAAGTAATCAGGCACGGGTATTTTTGTCTCTTTAAAAACATTTCGCATCATTGAACTCATTGTGATGAGCGAAGCTGTTATCGTTCGCGCGTGAAAAGTTTAGTTCTGAACTTTCTAGGGATTTTGCAAACTTCAAGGACAGTTTGTTTTAAACATGTCACTTCTTGAGATCGATCTGCATCGATGACGTTTCTCCCGCAGAATTTAATGTTCTCTACTGCTTTGTTACGGCCTAAACAGAATACGCATTACGCCTAACAAGTGAGTTTTTAACTTCAGATTTGATTCAATATACCAACATTTGCCATAGCTACTTTTATCATGAATCAGGAACATAACATCTTGATAAAATCTTAAAAAAGGTGCTGCTCTATTGAACAGGCGGTCTCCAAGTCCCGAAGGACCAGTTAACGGCATGCAGCACACTGACCTACCCTTCCATTTCATCACTGTGCTTACAACTTAACCGACTGGGAAAGCTAAATAGAGCATCTGTGTGGCAGTGAATCGTTTTTGCATTTTCTGCTGTAGCATCTGATGTTCTGGTACATGATAATACATTAATAGTTCGGAGAAGAAAGAATTCATAATAATAGAGCCATGTTTTTGTTTTGAAATTTTGTTTAGGCGTTTTTTCACCAAAAGTTTCCATTTGCTGAATGCTGCAAATTCCTAAATGAGCATCCATCCCCTTTGGAGAAACTGCTCCAAATATGTTTGAATTAAAAAGTAAGATGGATTTAAGTCGAAGAAAACGTTTCTCTAGTGACCAAAACTTAACTTCATGACTTAAACTATATGACTGGTAGCTTATTTTAAGAGTGTTTTTCAAATTTGGAAGATAGTTAAGTTTTCAAATATTAAGTAATCGTTACGTGAGGGAAAAAGAATAGCTACTGTCTTTTTAACTGTCAGTATCAGTATTAATGGCAATTGAATCTGGGAAGATAAAATATTCTTCATTTACATTTCCTTAATACGTCCTGCGGTGAATGCTAATTTAGCCAAGTAAGTGTATTCCCTGAAGGGTTTGCTATTATCAAGGACAAACAGAAAATAAACCCCCAGCAAAATAAAGTCGACGAATCGAAAACACCCCGCGATTTTGCGTCCATCGGTCGCGATGATTTGCCAAACGCTTTCATCGCTCAGTCTCTTGGATAACAGATCAAGCTAGATGCATTGGAAAGTAAAATGATTTTATATTTTTCTTCCTATGTAAACAGCATTTGACGATAAAATATTCCAATCTGCACTGAACTTAGTTTCTTCAGCGCAGCGCTGAAGGCAGAACATTTTCGACAATGCACAGCCCTCCACAAATTTAAAGAGAAATATCCTGTCAAAGCTCCAAGGAATTCTAACCATTATTTAAAATGTACACACTCGATTAAGCAATCAATATACCTGAATATTTGTCTTCTTGCAGAATATTCGCGAAGTCTCTACGAAGAGATTGTTTGACTACAAGTTTGAAGTTGATATATTGCTAGGCGTGTTACCACGCAGAGCTAACATGTATGGGTTTTCAAGAATTGCATTTTAAAGGACTAATTCTATGATTAAACAAGTTTTTTCTATTCGATTAAACTCACTTAGGTGTGAAGAGTGACACCGAGTGATCCGATAGAATTCTGAATTAACCTCAGAAATCTAGTTCAATCAACGCTTTCCTTAATTTTACCGTACGACAAAAGAGATACCACTGCAAACATGCTAAATAAAGAAAAGGACTCTTTCGAAGAATTTATTTCCAAAGAGTTCAAAAGTACAAACGTGATCGAGAGGCACTCAGACCGACTTCACTGTTTTAACTACACAATGTACGCAGTGGATCTGATAAATCAGCACTAACCTGAGATGATATACACTCTGACCGTTCTACGATTAAACCGGCGTCTGAAAGACTGTTTTCGTACGCCTTCCTCATCTCTTCGTGTTTCATGGCCTCCTCCTTGGCCTCTTCATCTTTATTTTCTTTCTCCTCGCAGCTTTCGTACACAAGGACATAGTCGATTTTCTTACTCGATCCTGCGTCTTTCAGGTAAAGTCCCTTCGTCTCTATGCTTTTGGAGTGGAAAGATGGCTCTACCATATCAAGAAGAATGTCACCATCTTCGGTGGTTTTCGTGAAGGAAACAGGTTTCGCCATGAGAGTACGTTTCGTGACTTAACGCTATAGTAGTGTAGAGAGAAGCGACGAGTTCGCTGAACTTTACATTGGGTGTGACCTGGTGCGAAATATATTTGCATAAAATACAACTTACATGTATTTGCCTTGCAAATATAATGCACACGCGCGTGTAGTTAAAACTCCAGTGTTTTGTTTCTGTTGAATGAACATTGTCATTCTCCGGTGGAAAAGTAAGAAAAATAAAAGAGAAAATTAAAACTAAAGAAAACATAGTTAAAAAAAAATTGTAGCGCGCAACGATGGAAGCGATGCATGAATGTCAAAACATCATGCCATTATATAATCCATTTGTAAAAACACTCGCTTCTTGAATTATTTATGTATATTTTTTTTCGTTTCTTGCATATTTACAATATCGGGTTTGGACTTTTCAGCTAAGCGCTGCGGAGATATTTAGCAAACATTATTTGAGCGAGCGTTGAATATATGAGATAGCAATTCGAACACCAGAAACGTTACGTGTACTATTCGGGGTTCGGAATTTAGCGCGATTTCAATCTTTTCTGACGGGAATTGGAAATATGTCCTATCCTGTCTGTGATAAAACTTTGAAACATATTACCAGCGGAGCCTACCTGGGGTTCTCTACTTGGGCTGGTTCAATATTTCTCACTTTTACAGTAGTTGTAATTCTGGGCGAGATCGCACGCATCCAAAAAAAGAAAGTAAGAAAGTCGGGATTACTATAGATGAACTCACTCTGGAGAGAAAATGCAATTTGTGGAGATGGAATGTAGTAACAATTTACAAAGCAGGTGTCTGTTAACATCCTTGATCGTAGTAATATCAACTTAAATTGTTTTTTTTTTTTGGAGTCCACAAGCTTATGATTGCATAAAACCGTGGTTTGGGTTTGAGCTCGTGTAAATAACCGGCCCTCGGTGTTCAACTCTTAATAGCTTCTTTACTTGGCGATCATTTCCTTTATTCTCGTGACTTTAATGCATGATTCTGGGCTGATATTGTAAGGAGAAATTAGATGCTAGTCATTCTTAGGACTCAAGGAGTTAATCAACAAAAGAGTCTGACGATCGTCCCGAGCTTTCTAGTCAATAAATTGGCCATCAAACAAAGTTTAAGCCAGTCAGGTGTTGTTGCAGTTAATTGCAGTTTAATTTGACAACAACAGCAGCAACAAAAACAAACATTACTACTACTATCGTCTATCGTTGCTAACCAGACTGATCCCTAAACTAGCCTTCAAATTGGTCACCAAACAAACTTTCAGCCAGTGGGGTGTATTTGCAGTTAATTACAGTTTTGATTTGACAACAAAATCAGCAACAGCAACAAACACTACAACTCTTCTACGTCCACCACTACCATTTCGTCTTAAGGTTGGGTTATATGCTTGTCCCCACGCCATATATGCTTGTGTAAAACTTATCCAATTTTAGGCGTGCTCCAAATCGAATATGCTCATTATAGTTAAGAAGGCGAGTTTTCCAAAGTTTTAAATTTCTGTCACCACGGAGAGAGAGCTTAATTAACATATTAATTATTGTTGGATATGTCTGCTTTGATCACATCCAAGCTACCTTTCAATTTATATAAAATCCCAGCTAGACACTGAATTAACCTAACTTATTATTATTATTATTGTTATTGTTATTATTATTATTATTATTGTTATTATTGTTATTATTATTATTATATTATTATTACAAATATATATAGGTATGTGTGGTGTTTTTCTTTTTTGGGTGGCCTTTTGTAAGGGAACCCTTTCCTGTTTCTTGGCCTTCCCCTCAGCCTTGTATATATGTTAAGCTTGTTGAGAAAATGACTAATGTAAATTAGAACATAGCTAGCAGAGTCGCGCAATCAAATTCATTATACATAAGCGTGCTCAAAATCCCGATAGTGCACGCTGATAGCGTCAGCAAATCCGACTTCGCCAGAAA